CCACGAAGGCGTGGCAAGGAGGGGTGACCCAGGCGGTGGTGCCAGAGAAGAGTCTGGTGCGACAGGGAACGACACTCACAGGCGTGGGCCACCAGACCTGACGCAGACACCTGACCGACAGCAGCTACCTGGGGAGACGCAGTGGTCAGTGTGTAGAGACTCGACCCCGGCCGACGGGTGAACGTAGCCAGGTGACGGCCAGTCCTGGAGCACGTGCAGATCGCCACACGCTGTCCGCCAGGGGTAAAGGTGTCAACCCACTGATCCTGGAGGACAGCGTTGCTCACCAGGTTCGTCGAGAACGAGGGGAGGTGGAAACCCGACAACGAGCCAGACGGAACCGCCGGACAAGGGAGGACAGTGGTGGACTGGGCAAGGACTGGGCCCCCAGAGGGGTCAGCCAAGGAGACTGGGACCGGTGCAGGAAGCGGTGTGAGCTCAGTACTGTCACGAAAGAAGCAACGGGAAGCACCTGAGTCAAGGGTGAAGGTGTGACAGGCCTCAGCCGGTGCGGTACCTGAGAGAGCAGTCTCTGTGGGTGCTGTACCTGAGAGAGCAGACTCGAAACCAGTCGGGACAGCACTGGAGGGAGCAAGTACAGGGGGCACCATACCAGAGAGAGCAGACTCACTAGTACCCAGGGCAGCGGGCTCTATACCTGGGTCAGGCGGCACACACAAGTAACAGTCTCCCTCGGCACTAACAGTCAATGCATACATGGCAGCAATAATAGCATCATAGTCAAGAGCAAAGACATCAACACCAGCCCTCATGAGCTCAGCCCAGCGGGGGCGCTCAACATCCGCACCCATCTCCTCACGCCAAGCGTCGTCAAGGCGGGAGAAGCAGCGGTACGGGGTGTGGAACCTCCCACACGTCTGTCCCTTGCGGTCACCTGTGCGAATGACATAAGAACAGCGGGCACTGGCCCCCGACGTCCCACGCTGAGCAAGCCACTCACGAAGCTGCTGGGTCGTCTGGGGACGCTGCTGCTGCTGGGAGCTCTGGCCAGAGCCAGTGCCTCCACTCCGACCTCCGCCGCCACCACTACCACCGCTCCGACCGCCACCGCCACCACCGCCACCGCCACCGCCACCGCCGCCACCGCCGCCGCCGCCACTACTGCCACTGCTCCCTCCGCCGCCCCCGTCTCCACCACCGACCCCACTCCCACCAGCGCTCCCGCCACCGCTCCCTCCAGCACCGCCTCCCCCCCCACCTCCCCCACCTCCTCCCCCCCCAGCGCCACCACCACCACCCTTGCCCCCCTTGCCCTTGCCGGTGCGGCGCCTCCCACCAGGAGTAGAAGCAGCGCCAACAGACTCAGCACCAAGGAAGTCAACAGCAGCAGCAGCAGCGTAGGAGGGAGCGAGGGGAGAGGGAGAACACCCCTCAAAGATGGGGGTGCGAGGAGCGCCACGAGCAGCACCGACAGCTACAATGCTCTTTTCGGCCGCGAGCAGGTGCTCCTCTAGGAGGGCGACTGTGAGCTCAGTGGGACAGCGAGCAAGGAAGTGGTCTCGAACTGAGCGGAGGGTGTCAGGGAGACGGGTGACTATGAAGTGGAGTGTCCAGTACAGTGGAGGGGGGTTCTTAGCGCAGAACTCGGTGGGAAGGGCGGCACGCAGGCGAGCATCACTAGTGCGAAGGTGGGTGATAAGATCGGCGACTGTAGTAAAGGTGGACAGATCGGGGAACAGGTACGGCAGCATGAGGCGGCTAAGCTCGGCTGTGGCAGGCGAGGAGTAGCGAGCGACGACAGCGTCGTACAGGGCCTTAGCGGATTTGCAGTCGCCAAAATGCTCTAGCTCAGCTAACGGCAGGTGACTGCGAATGGCTAGGCGAGCAGCTGCGTCACGAGTCTGCCAGTGGGAACGAACACTAAGCTCAGCTGTGGCAGGAGGGGCAGGCGCAGCACCAGACGCGTAGTCATAGAGCGACACATGCTCCTTGCTATCGCTCAGGAGAAACAGCTGCAGGTCATCTAGCCAAGCGGTGAAACGCACAGGGCGGCCCTCAGCATCGAACGACAGCACGCGAATGGAAGCCATAGCGACAGTGTGACAGAGTAACGCAAGCTGCCGCAGCAGGGGAAGACGACTGTGCACGGATAGAGAGCAGCGGGCGAGGCTGGCGCTACGGGCAGGCGGCGCTGCAAGCGGTCAGTGCGACGGGAGGGCGACGCTGCGAGCGGGCAGCGCGGCGGACGGGCCGGGAAGCGGGCAGCGCGGCGGGCAGGCGGCGCTGCAAGCGGGCAGCACGGTGGGCGGGCGACGCTGCGAGGCGGGCGGGCCGCAAAGCGGGCAGCGGGCGGGCGGGCTGCGATGCGAGCGGGCCGCGAAGTGGGCAGCGAGCGGGCGGGCGGGCTGCGAAGTGGGCGGGCCGCGAAGCGGGCAGCGGGGCGAGCGGGCTGCGAGGCGGGCGGGCCGCGAAGCGGGCAGCGAGCGGGCGGGCGGGCTGCGAAGTGGCGGGCCGCGAAGCGGGCAGCGAGCGAGCGGGCTGCGAAGCGGGCGGGCCGCGAAGCGGGCAGCGAGCGAGCGGGCTGCGAAGCGGGCGGGCCGCGAAGCGGGCAGCGAGCGGGCGGGCGGGCTGCGTAGCGAGCGGGCCGCGAAGCGGGCAGCGAGCGGGCGGGCGGGCTGCGAGCGGGCGGCTCGGCGAGGGGCGCGCGAGGGCGCTAGTGAGGGGCGCGCGAGGGCGCTAGTGAGGGGCGCGCGAGGGCGCTAGCAAGGGGCGCGCGAGGGCGCTAGCAAAGGGGCGCGCGAGGGCGCTAACGAAGGGGCGCGCGAGGGCGCTGACGTGGGTGCGCGCGAGGGCGCTAACGAGGGTGCGCGCGAGGGCGCTAACGAGGGCGCACGAGGGCGCTACGAGGCTAGGGAACGGGGTAGCGTGGTAACCGCATGCGAGCGGTGGTGGGCCCTAAAAAAAAAACGATCGGTAGGTCCTAGGGACCTCCTGCTCTGAATACCATGTCAGAATCACTAGGCAAGAATGATGAACTAGCAGAAGTTTTGGGTACAAATATGAAACCCTAGTTGGGGTTGTACCCCATATTGGCTACCCCACTACAGCCTACAAGCATGCTACAGTTTAACAGAAAGCACGAGCAGCGCTACAGGGCAACGACAGTGCAGCACCTCCAAAGTAAAAATACGTGGCGACTTCGGAGCGGGCGAAAAAAGGAGGACATGATGGCGCGAATTTAAAACGCCACGACCGGCCGGCAACAGGGGAAATCGCCGAGACAAATGGAGGCTCCGCGAAACAAGACTCTGCACCGACCGGGAAACTCCAGCCAAACACTCACGAAAGTAAGAATTCGTTAAAGTTATCCTATAAAGATACTTTAACTAAGAAGATTACCTCTCGTGATTTTCAAGCCTTCAGGGGAGACTTGAGGCTGAGAAAAAGCCCTCAGATATTATTCAGGTACCTGAGAAGTTGGGCAAACCACTCCGGAGCGTTGATAAGGGTCGTGCGCTCCAAGGAGAATTTTCTCTCCCCGCAACACAATGTTAAGGCTCCCCATTGCCCACAGGAGAAGCCTACACAGCTGCAACGACATAGGGGAAGGTTCCAGGCCAAGACGAAGCTGAATCGGCCGCGGATAAATCCTTCTAACCCTGCTCAGTTGAAAACTGATATGGAGTCAGCAGCTTCGAGCGCGGAACCTATGGATGATCTATTCGACGTACCCTATGATCCTATAAGCGAGACCATCTACGGCTACTCGGAGCGGCATTTAGCAGCCACTACTTCTCGAGGTGATCTGCAACGGGCGACGCCTCCAGGCGATGGTGGACAGCGGTGCATCCGACTCGGTGTGTGACCGCAAGACATTGGAGAAAGTTGGAGAGAAAGCGGAGAAGACCCAATTTTCAGCAACGATGGTGGACAGTACGAAGCTTCCCATCCACGGCGAAGCATCATTGCAGCTGCATATAGGTGCGTTGAGATGGAAGCCGACGTTGCCGATCACGAACATCAAGGGATTAGATTTCATCTTGGGGCGAGATTTCCTGAAGCAGTTCAACCCCGAGATTGACTGGGTCAATCGGAAGGCGTGCATCTACAACAACGGGAAGCGGATAGAGCTACGAAGCTGGACGGATACAGGGGACGTTCCTGAAACGACACTGGCACGGTTCGAACGGACGGTGAACGAGAGTAACACGGGTTATCTAGCACTGGTCATGGCAGCAGCAGAGGAGGAGAAGCCGAGTTCGGAGCTTCCTGCAGCAGTGAAGGAGGTCTTGGAGCAGTACAAGGACATAATGCCTACTTGCAGGCATACCTCCAGACGCACCCACGAGCACGAGATCGTGGAGGAACCAGGTGCGAAACCCGTCTCACGTGCACCTTACCGACTGAGTCCGACCGAACTAACAGACATGAAAAAACAGATCGAGTATTTACTGGACAGACAACTGATCCGACCATCCACCTCTCCCTACAGAGCACTAGTTCTCTTCACCCCAAAACCAGACGGCAGTTTACGGATGTGCATCGACTACCGCGCACTGAACAAACAGACAGTTAAAAACAAATATCCCATACCGCGCATAGACGACCTACTGGACCAACTGCGTGGTGCAACAATCTTTTCGAAGCTGGACCTACGGTCGGGTTACTGGCATATCTGTTAGAATGACTGAACGAGGAATGAATGAACTAGCTCAGAGTTTGGTACAAGTAGGAAACCCTAACTTTGTGTACCCCCTAAGGTGTAACCCACTACAGCCTACACAATATAAACATACAATGTTTGACACACCCCCATAGGCGCAGTGGGAGACAACCACAGGGTCATGAGACCAGTCAAAGCAAAGCAAAGCAAGCTCAGGGTGGATCTCAAGGATACCACACAAATTCTGAGCACAAGCAAGTGGTCACAAGACCAGTTCACATGCAGTTTCATAATATAGCAAGAGATACAATGATCACAACCTAGCAAGTGTAAACATGCAGGTATATATATATATAAGATCACAGTACAAGCAGAGTCAAGAAGTAAGCAAGTGAGGTCCAGCAGGCACAAGGCCTAGAAGAGTACAGAAACGCTGATGGTCACAAGGCTGAAGCGCCTTGGTGAACACATCCGCAAGGTTGGCCTCAGTGGCCACGTAACGCAGACGAAGCTGACCACGCTGCTGCAGCTCTCGAGCAAGGAAGTACCGTAGGGCGATGTGCTTCGTTCTGTGCTCCAGTCTGTGCTCCTCACACAAGGCAATGGCAGCCTGGTTGTCGACGTACAGCAATGGAGGAGAACGAGGCCGCTCTCCCAAGTCGGTCAGCAGGTAGGTCAGCCAGCGTAGCTCCTGGGCAGCCATGGCTGTGGCGTAGATCTCAGCCTCACAACTGGAGCTGAGAACAGACGAAGAGCGTGTAGAACGCCAAGAAACTGAGCCGGAGCCAAGGCTGAAGGTGTAACCCTGAGACGACCGCTGAGTAGCCTGGTCGTCCGCCCAAGAAGCGTCTGAGTGTCCAGTAAGTACAACACGGTCTCGCCCTCCAAGCACTAGCCCCATGCCCGACGTACTGCACAAGTAGCGCAACACCCTTTTAGCGGCATCCATGTGCTCCTTCCTGTGACGGCCAGGAGCGACATAGCGTGCAAGGATGCTAAGAGGGTATGCAAGGTCAGGTCGAGTGCAGGTCATCAGGTACATGAGGCAGCCCACAAGCTCTCGATACGGGCCACTCGGCTCTACGGACTCATCCGAAGGCAGAGCTGAGAGCGAGTGACCGGTAGGCAGAGGAGTGGACTGAGGCGAGGAGTACGTGAAGCGGAAGCGCTGAAGGATCTGCTGCACCATGTGTGACTGAGTCAAGGTGATGGTGCGCCGTGCTCTGTCCCGAGTGATCCGCAAGCCAAGATAGCTTGTCAGTTCACCCAGGTCTGTGCACGTGTGTCTCCTCTGCAGCTCCGACTTCACGTGGGCGAGTGCCGCGGTGTCAGCAGTGGCAAAGACCAAGTCGTCGACGTACACGAGGATGTAGAACGGCGGCAGCGAGGTGTCTGTGCGTAGAAACAGTGACGGGTCAGCAGTGGAGGGAGCGAACCCAAGAGCCGCAAGTGTCGTCCTCAGTGTGTCGTGCCACTCACGCGGTGCCTGGCGGAGACCATAGACCGGCCGCTGAAGTCTCCACTGGGTACCAGGAGGAACCGACCCAGTGAAGCCAGGAGGGCGGCGCAGCCAGATCTCCTCGTGCAGGCTGCCCTGCAAGAAAGCAGTGCTGAAGTCAAGTGAGTGAAGCTCGTAGTCGCGCTGAGCGGCTATGTGCAGCAGCACCCGAAGAGTAGTCATCTTCGGGGTGGGGGAGAAGGTCTGAAAGAAGTCAACTCCCTCTCGCTGACTGAAGCCTCGAGCCACGTAGCGCGCCTTGAAGACAGGAGGAGAACCCGGCGGCCGCTTCACCCTGAAAATCCGCATGCCACTGACGATGTTCGCCCCAGGTGGGGGAACCTCGTCGACGTAGGTGCGTGTGGACTTCCAGGAAGCCATCTCTGCGTCCATGGCTGTCTGCCACTGAGAGGAGTAGGGACCCGCCATCGCCTCAGCGTAAGTGCGCGGGGTCGGGATGTCTGGTGCATCCGGGTCTCCCTCAGGGGCAACTAGCATGGACACGAGGTGGGGTAAAGCAGCAGCAAAGCACTGGAACTCCTCCTGTCTGTCCTCAAGGACGTCCATGCCAAGAGCACACTCACCCCCGACGGACGGAGGACAGACAGACTCAGACTCAGACTCAGCAACGAGGCTAGTGGCGTAGTCTAGACGACAGGCAGCAGCAAAGTCAACTAACTCAGCGACCAGAGAAGACGCAGCAGAGGACTCAAAGGTAGGGTCAGTGACAACAGTAGCGAGGAGACGGGTGACAGTGGGACTGGCAGCACGACGGGAGTCAGACTCCGGATCAGGAAGAGTAGGCAGAGAGGACGCAGGAGGAGACGGCAGCGGGACACGCTGAGGAGCAGTGGAGGGACGCAGAGTCATGTAGTGAGTGCCAGGGACAGGAGGAGGACGCTCACGTGGGACACGACGACCAGTGCGAGCAGTACGAACAGGCGACGCAGGACGAGACTCAGGCTCACGACGCTCTGTAAGACCTCCTGTGGGACCAGTGTAAGGAGAGGGACCAGGGAGAGGCGAGGCAGGCGGGAACTGTGACTGCGACTGGACAGGCAGAGGACACTCGACGGAGGGAGGAGGACAAGGAGGAGGAGCCTGACCAAGAACCTGCTGAAGAAGCGGGACGAAGTACGGTCGCGGTCGCGGCCGCGCAGCGTCTCCAGAACCAGCAGAGACACCAGCAGCAGGGTCCTCAGCACCAGCAGCAGCTCCAACGTCCGGGTCCTCAGCACCAGCAGCAGCTCCACCGTCCGGGTCCTCAGCTCCAGTAGTAGCTCCAATGTCCGGATCCGCAGCACCAGCAGCAGCGCCACCGCTCGGGTCCGCAGCACCAGCAGGAACTCCACCAGCCGGGTCCTCAGCTCCAGCAGCAGCTCCACCGCTCGGGTCCCCAGCTCCAGCAGCAGCTCCAACGCCCGGGTCCTCAGCACCAGCAGCAGCGCCACCCCCAGGGTCCGCAGCACCAGGAGCACCACTCCGAAGACTGCAGCGCCGCGTGTACCACTCTCGGATCTGCTGAATGGGGGGGAGCTCCGGGGCACGAGGGGAAGTACCGGAACGAGCTCCAGTAGCACCTCTCCGGAGGCGGCAGTACTGTAGGTACCTCTCCTGCAGCTGCTGGGAGGAGAGGGCTCCTCCAGGTGTAGCACGCTCAGGCTCAGCACCTCCAGACACAGCACCCCCAGACGCAGCACCCCCAGGCTCAGCACCTCCAGACTCCGCACCTCCAGGCTCAGCACCCCCAGACGCAGCACCTCCAGGCTCAGCACCCCCAGACTCCGCACCCCCAGGCTCCGCACCCTCAGACTCCTCACGGTCAGGCTCAGCACCCCCAGCAGGACGAGAGTCAACAGCTACCTCAGCAGGCTCAACCGGGTCTACCTGGGACACACATGAGGGAGCGGCACCCTGAGGGGGGAGGGGGTCTGGGACCTCAGCACCTGGAGCGAGGAAGAGAGGCGGGGGGGGGAGCGGGGCAGTGCGGTAGGGGAAGAGGCGGTAGTAGGGGACGGACTCGTCAAAAGTGACGTCCTGAGAGGCAAGGACCCGACGCGAGGTGGCGTGGTAGAACTGCCAACCAGGCGCGTCCGGGACAAAGCCAAGGAAAACACAGGGGACAGCTCGACGGGAGAGCTTGTCCGCGGACGTGTCGCGAACAAAAGCTCGGGATCCCCAGACCCGAAAACGCGACGCATCGCCAGCCTCTCCCGTCCAACGCAGTGTCGGAGAAGTCTCCGGTAAGGAGACACGGGGCCAGAGGTTGAGCTGATGCGCAGCGTATCGGACTGCAAACGGCCACAGAAAGTGGGGGGCAGCCGCATGAACCAAGGAGGTACGAGCGACCTCCATGACCAAGCTAATGCGGCGCTCAGCAACCCCATTCTGCTGTGGAGAGGCCGGAAGCGTGAACGACTGCTCAATGCCCTCCTGCTGACAGAAGGCCTCCAAGAGGCCAGAGGAAAACTCCCCACCTCTGTCAGAGTGCAGACGCAGGACAGGGAAGTCGGAGCGGAAACGCTCACTGAGCTGGAGACGAGATCTGCGGATCTAAGGGATCAAGACATCAGGGACGTGCAAGGGGAAGACCGTGGTGTAGCGCGAGAAGTCATCAACAACAATCAGGAAGTACCTCTCCTGACCCTGACCACGGACGCGGGCTGGGCCCCACACGTCCATGTGGAGCGTCTGCAAAGGAGCAGTCGTCGGGGGGAAGGAGGAGGAGTGAGGAGCGGCGCGCTGCCGCCCCTCGACACAGGGAAGGCAGGGAGGAGCAGGCGAGGGTGGCAGGGGAGGGAGAACCCTGGGAAGACCAGAGACAAGGTACCGTTTGTGCATGGCCCGAAGGCGCTGCACAGACGGGTGACCAAGGCGGTGGTGCCAAAGGACAGTCTCATGCGCCAGAGAGCGACACGAGCAGGGGGCGGACAGCTGACCTGACGCAGACGCAGACGCGGACGCAGCTACCTGAGGGGACTCAGTGGTCAGTGTGTACAGGTCCGACCCCGGCTGCCGAGTGAAGGTAGCCAGGTGACGGCCCGTCCGAGCACACGTGCAGTGGGTCACGCGCTCGTAAGCAGGGGTGAACTGGTGGACACCCCCGTCCTGGAGCGCACTACCTGCCACCAAGTTCGTAGAGAACGAGGGGAGGTAGAGACCTGACAGCGTGCCTGACGGGACCGCAGGACAAGGAAGGACAGTGGAGGAGGTTGCAACGACCGGACCCCCAGAGGGGTCAGCGAGGGAGACAGCAACTGGCCGAGCGAGTGGCTCAAGGACAGTGCGGTCACGAAAGAAACAGCGAGAAGCACCTGAGTCCAATGTGAAGGTGTGCAGTGCTGCAGTCGACTCAGTACCAGCGGGCACGGACGCACTAGCACCCAGAGCAGCAGCCTCACCAGGACCTGGGGCAGCAGACGCACTAGCACCTAGAGCGGCAGCCGGACTGGTCTGAATGCCCGGGTCGGGCGGAACACGCAAGTACTGAGCACCCTCTCCACTAGTAAACATCGCATACATGGCAGTGAGAATAGCATCAAAGTCTAAAGCCCAGATATCAACTCCCTTCTTCTCCAGATCAGCCCAGTGGGGCAGGTCAGTGGCATCAGGAAACTGGGCACGCCACGCGTCAGTAAGGCGTGCGAAACAGCGCTGTGTGGGATGCGGCCTCCCACACTGCTGACCAGTGCGGTCACCAGTGCGAATGACGTACGTGCAGGTAAAGCCACGCTGCGCATACCACTCACGGGCGGCCTGAAGCGACGGGGCGGGCTGCTGACTCTGTCCACCGCCAGCGCCTCCACGACCACCACCGCCGCCGCCACCGCCCCGGCCACCTCCACCCCTGCCGCCGCCACGACCACCTCCGCCTCCGCTGTCGCCTCCGCCCCTGCCACCACTCCCGCCGCTGCTGTCACCACCCCCACTGCCGCCACTAGCCTCCCCTGTCCCACCGCCACCCCCACAACCACCACTCCCGCCGCCCCCGCCGCCACCTCCACCCTTGCCCCCTTTGCCCCTGCGGCGCCCGCTCGGAGCAGACGCAGCCCCGACCTTCTCAGCACCAAGGAGGTCGACAGCAGCAGCAGAGGCGACAGAGGGGAGGAGAGGGGAAGGGGAACACCCCTCAAAGAACGGGGTGCGGGGGTCGCCACGAGAGGTGCCTACAGCGACGATGCTCGCCTCAGCTGCAAGCAATTCCTTCTCGAGGAGGGCAATGGTGAGCTCAGTGGGGGAGCGAGAGAGGAAGTGGTCCCTGACTGTGCGCAGGGAGTCGGGGAGGCGGGTGACTATGTGGTAGAGAGTGATCCAGAGCGGGGGGGGGGTTGGCGGCAAGGAACTCGTCAGGCATAGCAGCGCGAAAGCGGGCCTCACTGGTCCTGAGGTGGGTGATGAGGTCAGCGACTGTGCTGAAGGAGGCCAGGTCGGGGAACAGGTAGGGGAGGGTGAGGCGGCCTAGTGCGGCAGAGGCAGGTGAGGAGTAACGAGCAACGACAGCAGTGTACAGGTCCTTAGCAGTCTTGTGCTGGCCAAAGTGCTCGCGCTCATCGAGTGGCAGGGAGTTGCGAATAGCGAAGCGAGCGTGAGCGTCACGAGTCTGCCACTGTGAGCGCTGAGTGCTGTCTGCAGTGGTAGGAGGGGCAGTAGCGTGACCGAGGGCATGATCGTACAGCGAAATATCCTCCTTGGCAGTGAGCTGTAGGAAGAGGTGCAGGTCATCTAGCCAGGTGTCAAATTTCACTGGGCGGCCCTCAGCATCGAAAGCAAGTACGGGAGGACTAGCCATAGTGGCAGCAGTAGTAGCAGTAGGAACAGTAGTAGTAGCCGTAGAAGAAATAGGAGGAGCAGCAGTATCGACGGGGCTGCTCAGTACGGGCGGCGCGGCTCGGTCGGGCGGCGCGGCTCGGTTCAGGTAGGGCGGCGCGGCTCGGTTCGGTTGCGCGGAGCTGTAAGCCTGGCCGAGGGGCCGCTAAGCGGGGCGCAGCAGGGTCGCGGGGCCGTGAGGTGGCGGGCGACGGGGCCACGGGGCCGCTAAACGGGGTGCGCGCGGGGCCGCGGGGCCTCTAGGGGAGGGTCGATGGGGCCGCGGGGCCGTTAAACGGGGCGCGTGCGGGGCCGCGGGGCCTCTAGGGTGGGTCGACGGGGCCGCGGGGGCCGCTACACGGGGTGCGCACGGGGCCGCGGGGCCTCTAGGGTAGGTCGACGGGGCCGCGGGGCCTCTAGGGTGGGTCGACGGGGCCGCGGGGGCCGCTACACGGGGTGCGCACGGGGCCGCGGGGCCTCTAGGGTAGGTCGACGGGGCCGCGGGGGCCGCTACACGGGGTGCGCACGGGGCCGCGGGGCCTCTAGGGTAGGTCGACGGGGCCGAGCGGGCCGGAATCGGGGAGCGCGCGGGGTGCGACGGGGCCACTAAGGGGCCGTACACTAGGGCGCACGAGGGCGCTGAGGGGGAGGCGCTAACGCAGCTCTCCGAAAGTAGGTAGGTAGGTAGGTAGTAGAGGTGGGCCCGAAAAAAAACTTAGGTCCTAGCGAAGGACCTGCTCTGAAACCATGTTAGAATGACTGAACGAGCAATGAATGAACTAGCTCAGAGTTTGGTACAAGTAGGAAACCCTAACTTTGTGTACCCCCTAAGGTGTAACCCACTACAGCCTACACAATATAAACATACAATGTTTGACAATATCAAGATGTGGACAACTCGATCCACAAAACGGCGTTCCGTACGAGATACGGCTCCTACGAATACTTGGTGATGCCGTTCGGACTCTGCAACACACCAGCGACGTTCCAGGCGGAGATGAACCACATCCTACGGCCCCTGCTGGACGAGTGCGTAGTAGTGTACCTAGACAACATTCTCATCTACTCCAAAAACATGAAGGAGCACGTGGAGCATCTGCGGAAATTGTTCAAGATCCTGCGGAAAAACAAATTCTACGTGAAGCTGTTGAAGAGCAACTTCGCACTGAAGAAAGTGCAGTTTCTCGGGCACATGGTGAGTGCCGAGGGCGTACACGTGGACCCGCAGAAGATCGAAGCCGTTAAGAAATGGAAAGTTCCGGAGAACGTGAAAGAGTTGCAGCAGTTCCTAGGCTTCGCCAACTACTACAACAGGTTCGTGCCATAGTACGCTAAGATAGCAGCGCCACTGACCGACCTACTGAAAAAGGACACGCCCTTCAAATGGGGTGCTCCTCATCAGCAAGCCATGGAACAGCTACAGACAGCACTGACCATAGCACCAGTACTCATCCTACCGGACCCCGAGAAGGACTACGTAGTTGAAGCAGACGCTAGTGACCAGGCAGTCGGAGCAGTACTAATGCAGGATCACGGGAACGGTTTACAGCCTATCGCCTACCTCAGTAAGAAGTTACACAGATCAGAACTGAACTACCCCATTCACGACAAGGAAGCCTTAGCCATCGTCGTAGCCTTCAAGGCATGGAGGTGTTACCTAGAGGGAGCCAAGACCACAATCTATATTGACCACTGCAACCTCAAATACATGAAGTCGCAACCTCTCACAACGACAGGTGCGGTGGGTGGATTTCTTGGAGACTCACTTCCACTACGACATCGTCTACAAGCCCGGGCTACACAACAAGGCAGACGCGTTGAGCCGCCCCGGTCATGTAGCAGGCATCCAGCTCGACGGGATGAACCCTCTGCTTAAGGGTCTATTCCAACATGGCTATTCCGTGGACGCACAGATCGCGACAGCAGAGAAACAGAAGCTGTTACAGTGGGAGAAAGACAAAGCGGTAAGGAAGGATTCAGGAAAGATTTGGGTACCAAATTACGCCCCGCTACGGCAGATCCTATTGGAGGAGTTTCATGACGTACCATACGCGGGACACTTTGGGAGCAACAAGACGTTAGCTGGAATAGCGAAGTATTACTACTGGCCTCGGATGGCAGCAGACGTGCAGCAGTTCGTCACCTCCTGCGACACGTGCCAGCGGATGAAGAGTAGCAAGCAGAAGAAAGCAGGGTTACTTCAGCCTCTACCCGTACCGGAGCAGCCATGGCAGGTCGTTAGTCTTGACTTCATCACAGGACTTCCCTCGACCTCACGGGGACACGATTCCATCCTCGTAGTCATCGATAAGTTCTCCAAAATGGGTCACTTCATACCGACCAACGCCACAGCCACAGCTGAAGCAACTGCTCGACTCTTCTTCGACCGCATCATCACCATCCACGGCATCCCCGCAACACTCTTTTCAGACAGAGACCCAAAATTCACGAGTAAGTTCTGGAAGGAGCTTATGGGACTGTTGGGGACTAAGCTTGCGATGTCTTCAGCATACCATCCCCAGACTGACAGACAGACGGAGCGACTCAATCAGGTGGTTGAACAGTTACTGCGCACAGCTTGCAAAGACGACATCAGCCACTGGGACACACAGTTACCGACCTTAGAGTTCGCCTACAACAACGCCTCGCATGCGGCCACAGGGAAAACTCCTTTCTTCCTGTGTTACGGACGAGAACCACTCACACCAAAGCGGCCAACCACACAGGCACACGTCTAAGTTGTACACGACTTCGTCACCACCATGCAGCAGCTATGGGAGAAGACTCAGCGACGTCTCACCACGATGCAGAACTCCCAGAAGCAGTATGCCGATCGCCAACGACGAGATCACTCAGTAGCAGTCGGAGATCAGGTGCTTCTTGACACGCGCAACTTGAACCTGTCTCACCTACCATCCAAACTCTGGCCTCGCTTCTGTGGTCCTTTTCTCGTGGAGGCACAGGTGACACCAGTTACATTCCGCTTGCGCTTACCAGATACGTGGAAGCTTCACAATGCTTTCCATGTTCAGCTACTGAAACCCTACAAGGACCCCAACCAACAGTTCCAGGGACGGCAGCTACCGCCACCACCACCTGTACTCGTACAGGATGAACCAGAGAACAAGATCGAGCGTGTTCTCACTCATCGCGGCGGCAAGACCGTTGAGTTCCTGATACGTTGGAAGGGATACGACCCCACTGAGGACAGTTGGGTTGCAGAAGCTGATATGGGCAACGCACGCCGTGCTCTCAAGGACTATCTTGTCAAGCAGGGTGTATCTCACGCCACCCAGCTTTGAGGGGGGGACGTGTGAGAGTACGACGGCTTATGCTGGCTTTGCTAGCTTGCCTTTACTTTATTATGCATTATCTAGCTTAGCTTTGCTTTATTTTGCTTGGTTTCGCTAGATTTCCTAGGTTCGTTGCTTTTACTATATTTATTATAGTTATAGGCACCGAACTAGGTTGAGTGCACCGAATTCTAGGCTTTTCGGTTGCCACCGAATTGCCTTCTACCGAATTCGGGAAGGGTCTGTTCGGGACGCTTCGCGACCCTCGGAACCTTCGCGTAACACCTGGTTACCTGCCTTGTGTCGAGCCTATATATAGCCTCGTCTTGTACCCAGGTGAAACATTCAATTCACATTCTCTTTTCTGAGCTCGATCCTATCTCCTCACAGTTAGCCTCGACTTCGTCACAGGACATCCCTCGACCTCACGGGGACATGATTCCATCCTCGTAGTGATCGATAAGTTCTCCAAAATGGGTCACTTTATACCGACCAACGCCACAGCTACAGCTGAAGCAACTGCTCGACTCTTCTTCGACCGCATCATCACCATCCACGACATCCCCGCTACACTCATCTAAGACCGAGATCCCAAATTCACGAGTAAGTTCTGGAAGGAGCTCATGGGACTGTTGGGGACTAAGCTTGCGATTTTTCAGCGTACCATCCCCAGACTGACGGACAGACGGAGCGACTCAATCAAGTGGTTGAACAGTTACTGCGCACAGCTTGCAAAGACGACATCAGCCACTGGGACACACAGTTACCGACCTTAGAGTTCGCTTACAACAACGCCTCGCATGCGGCCACAGGAAAAACCCCTTTCTTCCTGTGCTATGGACGGGAACCACTCACACCACAGCAACCAACCACACCGGCACACGTCCAAGCCGCACACGACTTCGTCACCACCATGCAGCAGCTATGGGAGAAGACTCAGCGACGTCTCACCACGATGCAGAACTCCTAGAAGCAGTATGCCGATCGTCAACTACGTGATCACTCAGTAGCAGTCGAAGATAGGGTGCTTCTTGAAACGCGCAACTTGAACCTGTCTCACCTACCATCCAAACTCCGACCTCGCTTCTGTGGTCCTTTTCTGGTGGAGACGCAGGTGACACCAGTTACATTCCGCTTGCTAGACACGTGGAAGCTTCACAATGCTTTCCATGTTCAGCTACTGAAACCCTACAAGGACCCCAACCAACAGTTCCAGGGATGGCAGCTACCGCCACCACCACCTGTACTCGTACAGGATGAACCAGAGTACGAGATCGAGCGCGTTCTCACTCATCGGCCAGCGCCGCAGCGGCAAGACCTAGGTTAGGTGTTTTCCTATATTTTATTATAGTTCTAGCACCGAGCTAGGTTGCGTATGTCAAAATTTGGGCTATTCGGTTGCCACCGAATTGCCTTCTACCGAATTCGGGAAGGGTCTGTTCGGGACGCTTCGCGACCCTCGGAACCTTCACGTAACACCTGGTTACTGCCCCTTGTGTCGAGCCTATATATAGCCTCGTGTTGTACCCAGGTGATTCATTCAATTCAAACTCTCTTTTCTGAGCTCGATCCTAGATCCTCACAATGTGTGTCTGTGAGAGTGTAATGGTGCGAGCAACTCTGTCCCTGGTGATCTGCAGGCCAAGGTAGTGGCGCAGCTCACCAAGGTCAGTGCACGTGTGTCTCTTCTGCAGTTCGGACTTTACGTCTGCCAAGGTAACCCTGTGAGCAGTGGCAATAACCAGGTCGTCGGCGTAGACCAGAACAAAGAAAGGTCTGGAGCCACGACGAACGAACAGCGACGGGTCGGCAGAAGATAGCAGGAAACCAAGGTCAGAGCGGGTCGAACGAAGGGTGTCGTGCCACTCACGAGGAGCCTGACGGAGACCGTAGACAGGTCGCCTCAGCCTCCACTGGGTCCCAGGAGGGAAAGTGCCAGTGAAGGCAGAGGGACGACGCAGCCAGACCTCCTCGTGTAGGCTACCCTGAAGGAAAGCAATGGAAATGTCGAGAGAGTGTAACCCGTAGTCTCTTTGTGCTGCTACGTGTAGTAACACCCAAAGAGTGGTCATCTTCGGGGTAGGCGCGAAGGTCTGAAAGAAGTCAACTCCCTCGCGCTGACTAAAACCTCTAGCCACATAGCGCGCCTTGAAGACCGGAGGAGATCCCGATGGCCGCTTCACCCTGTAGATCCACATGCCATCGACTACGTTCGCCCCAAGGGGGGGAACCTCGTCGACGTAGGTGCCTGTGGATCTGTAGGAGGCCATCTCTGCGTCCATGGCAGCTCTCCACTGAGAGGTCCAAGGCCCTGACACTGCCTCAGCATAAGTGCGAGGAGTTGGTATGTCAAGGGCGTCGGGGTCTCTCTCTGGGGCGAGCAGCATGGCACAGAGATGAGGGGAAGCGGCTGTCAGGAACTCTAGCTCGAACTGCCTGTCCTCTAGGGCGTCACAGCCAAGGGCAGACTCACCCCCGACGGCCAGAGGACTGGTAGGAGGAGCAGCCACAAGACTGGTGGCGTAGTCAAGGTGACGAGTAGAGGCAAACTCAGTGACTGCGGCAGTAAGAGCTGAGAAAGAGGGCACAGAGGCACGAGGGTCGATAACAAGAGAGGCGAGAACACGAGAGAGAACAGGACGGTACGTGCGGTAGTAGTCAGTGACAGGAGTAGAGAGGGAAGCAGTGAGGGCCGACTCAGGAGGAGACGGAAGCACAGACGGAGACGAACGAGGCGGACTAGAACGAAAGAGGGCAGTACGAAGGTCAGTGACGGGAACAGGGGACGAGGGACTGCGGAGATAAACTCTACAACGGTAGTGAGCTAGACTATGGGGGTTGGCACGAACTACTAGGAGTGATCGTAGCTTTGCTTGGTTCCTTAGCACTTGCGCATTCACGGGAGAGATTGGCAAGAGTTTCCACTAGCAAAGTTGGAATTACAGAATGATTGAACAAGCAATGACAACAATGACTACATCAGGCACCTAGCAACCATACAGCTAGCCTGGTCGACCGCCAGCACAGCTTGGTCGACCGCCTGCCAGCGTTGCGTAGAGGAGCCGCGCCAGCACTGCAGAAAGGCGACCTGCCAACATTGCAGGTCGACGGCGTGCCAACGCTGCAGCAGTGCGGCTGTCCAGCGTTGCCCCGTAGAAGACAGCAGTGCGCATGCTCGCAGGTGCGCGCAGACGATTGGCCCGACTTGCATTGCTGTGCATCCGTCGGCTGTTGTCTGCGCCTGACAAGCCACATCGACTTCGGGATACCAGCCCAAAGTCGCCTTCATCATCGCGATCTCGATGACGTTCGCGTGCCTCCGCAGAACTCGTCGAGCAGGTTACCCGGTCGACCTGGACACCACCAGGTGCCCCGGTCGACCACCAGTGTCTCCGGTCGACCACCTGGTGCCTCTGGTCGACCACAGCTCCCGTCGAGCTACCCCCTGGTCGACGGACCCCTTCCGTCGACCAGAACTGCTCCGTCGACCTCCCGGTCGAGCTGCAGGTCGACGGGATGCCCCGCGGACCTCCCGGTCGAGCTGCAGGTCGACGGGATGCCCCGCGGACCCTGGTCGAGCTGCAGGTCGACGGGATGCCCCGCTGACCTCCCGGTCGAGCTGCAGGTCGACGGGATGCTCCGCAGACCTCTTCGTCGAACTGCAGGTCGACGGACTGCTCCGTGGACCTCCCGGACGGCCCACCCGTCGCCCAGGCCAGTCAGTTGCAGCTGTCGAGCTCCCTGGTCGACAGCAACACCACAGCGGTCCCCTGCAGCTCGACGTAGCCTGTCGAGCAGCTCTCCCACTGTGAACGGTCGGCTGCTACTCCCGTACATCCGACCAAGTCGTCGGCGTTGCCCAAGCGAGGGCGGGGCCAGCAGCCGCAGCACCCCTAGAACCGGCACCTCCAGCTCCATGGTCTCCAACTCCAGGGTCGACAGCACCAGCTCCAGGGCCTCCAGCTCCAGTGCCTCCAGCAGCAGCACCCCTAGAACCGGCACCTCCAGCCCCAGGGTTTTCAGCTCCAGTGCCTCCATCACCAGCACTCCCGGAACCGGCACCTCCAGCTCCAGGGTCTCCAACTCCAGAGTCGACAGCACCAGCTCCAGGGTCTCCAGTTCTAGTGCCTCCTGCAGCAGCACCCCAGAACCGGCACCTCCAACTCCAGGAGCACCACTAGTCCTGGCAGCTCCAGTACCTCCAGTACGAGCACCTCCAGAACCAGAAACACCAGCACTCCCAGTGTCTCTACGACGAGCAGCTCCAGCAGCTCCAACCGCAGCACCTCGAGCAGCCGTACCTCCAGCAGCAGGGCCTCTAGCTCCAGCAGCACGACTCCTCAGGCGGGTACGCGACACAAGCCACTCTCGAAGCTGCTGTGGTGAGAGAGGCCCGCGTTGTGAAACGAGACCCATAAGAACGCCAGCAGGCTTAGCACCTCCCGACTCAGCACCCTCCGTGTGAGGATCTAGAATCGAGCTCAGAAAAGAGAATGTGAATTGAATGAATCACCTGGGTACAACACGAGGCTATATATAGGCTTGACACAAGGCCCTGTAACCAGGTGTTACGCGAAGGTTCCGAGGGTCGCGAAGCGTCCCGAACAGACCCTTCTCGAATTCGGTAGAAGGCAATTCGGTGGCAACCGAATAGCCCAGAATTCGGTGTACGCAACCTAGCTCGGTGCTATAACTATAATAAAATATAGGAAAGCATCTAGCTTATGAGATCAAGCAATTCATGCGTGCATAAAATATACCTAAGCTAGTCATAGCGTAATAAAGTAAAAGCAAGCATGCATGGCTGGCATAAGCCGTCGTACTCTCACACTCCGGCTCAGCACCCCCAGGCACCGCACTCGTAGGCTCTGCACCCCCAAGCTCCGGATTCGCAGGCTCAGCACCCCCAGGCTCCGCAGGCTCAGCACCCCCAGGCTCCGCAGGCTCAGCACCTCCAGGCTCCACACTCTCAAGCTCCGCACCCCCAGGCTCCGCACCCCCAGCACCTCACGCACAGGCTCAGCACCCCCAGACGCAGCACCCCCCAGCACGTGAGTCGCTAGTGACCTCGACATGCTCAGCTAAAGAGAGGGGGCCTACCTGAGACACACCTGAAGGAGCAGGACCCTGAGGGGGGAGGGGGTCTACCAAACCTGGAGTGAGGAAAATCGGCGGGGGAGGGAGAGGGGCAGTGCGGTAGGGGAAGAGACGGTAGAAAGGAACCGACTCGTCAAAGGTGACGTCCTGAGAGGGGAAGACACGGCGCGAGGTGGGTTGGTAAGACTGCTAGCCAGGCACGTCAGGGACAAAGCCAAGGAAGACACAGGGAATGGTGCGAGAGGAGAGCTTGTCCGCGGACGTATCGCAGACAAGGGCACGAGCAGACTCGGAAACGCGACGCATCACCAACCTCCCCCGTCCAACGCAGTGTGGGCGAGGTCTCCGGCAAAGAGACACGGGGCCAGAGGTTGAGCTGCTGCGCGGCGTACCAGACCACAAACGACCACAGAAAATCGGGAGCCGCCTCATGGATCAAGGAGGTACGTGTGATCTCCATGACCAAGCCAATGCGGCGCTCAGCAACCCCATTTTGCTGCGGTGAGCCCGGAAGCGTGAACGACTGCTCGATGCCCTCCCCCTGACAGAAGGCCCGCAAGAGGTCGGAGGAGAACTCATCACCTCTGTCAGAGTGCAGACGCAGGAGAGGAAGGTCCGTACGGAATCTCCGGTGGAGCTGGAGACAAACTGCTCGGATCCAAGGGATCAGGACAGCAGGGACCTCACCCTTGGTGCGCAAGGGGAAGACCGTGGTGTAATGCGAGTAGTCGTCGACAACCAGCAGAAAGTACCGCTCACCGCCCTGTCCACGAACGCGGGCTGGGCCCCACACGTCCAGGTGGAGGGTCTGCAGAGGAGCCTCTGTCGTGGAAAACGAGGAGGAGTGAGGAGTGGCGCGCTGCCGCCCCTCGACGCAAGGAAGGCAAGGCGGCGCAGGCGAGGCAGGGAGGGGAGGGAGAGACCTGGGAAGACCAGACACAAGGAGGCGACGGTGCATGCCACGGAGACGTGGCAAGGAGGGGTGACCCAGGCGGTGGTGCCAGAGAAGAGTCTGGTGCGACAGGGAGCGACACTCACAAGGGGAGGCTACCAGACCTGACGCAGACACCTGACCAACAGCAGTTGCCTGGGGAGACACAGTCATCAGTGTGTAAAGACTCGACCCTGGCCGACGAGTGAACGTGGCCAGGTGACGGCCAGTCCTGGAGCACGTACAGATCGCCACACGCTGTCCTCCAGGGGTAAAAGTGTTAACCCAATGATCCTGGATGACTGCGTTCTCACCAAGTTCGTCGAGAACGAGGGGAGGTGGAGACCTGACAATGAGCCAGACGGGACCGCCGGGCACGGAAGAACGGTGGTGGACCGTGGAAGAACTGGGCCCTCTGAGGGGTCAGCCAGTGAGACTGTAACAGGTGCACGGAGTGGTGTTAGTGCGGTACTGTTACGAAAGAAATTTCGGGAAGCACCTGAGTCAAGCGTGAAGGTGTGCAAGGCCTCAGCAGGCGCAGTACCTGAGAGAGCAGACTCGCTCGCACCTAAGGCAGCAGCCTCTGAATATGGGTGAGCAGACTCACTTGCATTTAAGGTAGCAGCCTTTATACCTAGGTCAGGTGGCATACACAAGTAACAGTCACCGTCAGCACTAACTTCCAATGCATACATAGCAGAGATAATAGCATCAAAGTCAAGAGCAAAAATGTCTACACCAGCCTTAAGCAGCTTATGCCAGCGAGAGCGCTCATACTCCTCGCCCATCTCCTCACGCCAAGCGTCGTCAAGGCGGGAGAAGCAGCGGTGCTGGGTGTGGAACTTCCCGCATGTCTGACCCTTGCGGTCACCTGTGCGAATGACATAAGGGCAGCGACCACCACCCCTAGACTTCCCTCGCTAAGCAAGCCACTCACGAAGCTGCTGGGACGTCTGGGGACGCTGCTGCTACTGCTGTCTCTGGCCAGCGCCACTGCCTCCACCCCGACTGCCACCACCGCCGCCACCACCGCCCCGGCCACCACCGCCGCCGCCACCGCCGCCGGCACCCACTCCGCCGCCACTGCCTCCACCGCCGCTACCGACGCTACCACTCCCGCCAGCACTCCCGCCACCAGCCCCTCCGCCACCTCTGCCTCCTCCACCTCCTCCACCACCACCCCCCTCCAGTGCCACCTCCGCTACCCTTGGCTCCCTTTCCTTTGCCGTTGCAGCGCCTCCCACTAGGAGCAGAAGCAGCACCAGCAGACTCAGCACCAAGGAAGTCAACAGCAGCAGCAGTAGCGAAGGAGGGGGCGAGGGGAGTGGGAGCACCCCTCAAATATGGGGGTGCGAGGAGCGCCACGAGCAGCACCTACAGCGACTATGCTCTTCTCTACTGCAAGGAGGTGCTCCTCTAGGAGGTCGACAGCGAGCTCGGTGGGACAGCAAGCAAGAAATGTTATAAACACAACAGGCTTCAATGTGCCTAAAACGAAAGATAGAGTGCGCAGTCAGATTTCTGCACAGCGGCTTTAAACGTTCATAGCGATCTGGTCACAGCTCCAAACGACCTCATTCAACTTGGATCTGGAGCTTCTTAACGTGGCCTACAATAGGCAATTTAGATCGCATGATTTCATCAAGAATTGACGACACAGCGTCAGATTGAACGAACGGCACTACTGGGAGCAACATAGTCTTAGAGACACACTATTGTGAACAACTAGGAAGAGTTACGAGTTGGGAAGGACTCCCAGCTCCTACAAACCCCAAGAGCCGAGGTACAGTGATGGGGAACAATGCCACACTGTCCCCAACCAAGAAGGGTCTCGAAACTACCCTTCACAAGGGCCTACACCAAGTGAAATGTTACACTACACATTGTAATGTAACGAATCTTGATATCTTGAGGTGTACCCTTTTTGGCGAGCTTCGAAATCACTTGAAGCTTGCAACCAAGGCTCGGGTTCTTCATCACAAACTCATCCTTGAGTTCTTGATGGGTCTGCTGCACACACCTGCGATACGCCGAACGTTCGACAAGCGACAAAATAGAAACCGCGCACGACAAAATAGAAACCGCGCGGGACACACAAAATGATCACGTTACACACTACTAGCGATAATTCGCTATAGACTTGACACACACACTCGACATCATGACCCATCATTCACACACCATTATAAGCATGAAATATATATTTATTTCATGCACTCATACCACTCCATGCACACACACATGCACGCACACGCACACGGACAACAAGCCGAGTGCAAACCGTAGGGTTGCACCAACAAACTCCCCCTCGGGTTGTTGGCCTTAGGATCTTGCTCTCTCAGTTCAGAGCCATCCCAGCCAGCTTGCAACACTTCCAATGCTGCTGCTCCACCAGCCTCTTGGTCATCATGTCAGCTGGCTGCCCCGTCGTCTTCACATAACGCAACTCAACTTCACCCGCGGCCACCATGCTCCTCGTCCAATGCCACTTCACCCTCATGTGCTTGGTCAGGCCGTGTAGCACAGGGTTCAAAGCTAGAGCAATGGCTCCCTGGCTGTCACAATAGAGAGGAGTTGGTCCTTGCTGCTCCTCCCCCAATTCAGCCAACAAACGCCGCTGCCACACAATCTCCCGTACCGCACGGAAGAGTGCCATGTACTCGGACTCCACCGAGCTCAATGCTTGGTCCACCTGCTTCTTGCTCTCCCAAGCAGTTGGGCCTCCACCAACACAGCAAATGAAGCCTCCCACACTTGTCATGTCCTCTGGTTCTGATGCATAGGAGGCATCCGAGAATGCGGTGAGGAACAAACGCCCGGGTTCCACACCATCCGCGCCCTTTTGGCGCCTTTGTGCCGCCGCCGAGTATTGCAGCCCAACGGTCGGTGTTTGGCCAAGGTACTTGGCCACCCTCATTCCAGCTGCTACCTGCTCCTCATTAGGGCATTGCACAACCCTTGCCAGCTGCCCGGTAGCGAACGCGACATCCGGTCGTGTGTTGACCGCCGCATACATGAGGCTGCCCACCAACGAGTGAAATCGGCGCCTCTCCTCTTCACCCACGCTCTCCTCCTCTGGTCCCTTCACACACTTGAACCCCATGGCCTTCATTCTGCCAAAACTTGGCAGCCAATGCCTCCAAGTACTTCCGTTGGTGCACCCACATGCCCCGCTTCTCCACATCACGCTCGATGTGAAGTCCGAGTTAGAAGCTCACGTCCCCAAGGGACTTGCACTTGAACTTGTCTTGAAGTTTCAGCATCACCTCCTTCACAAGGTCAGAGGAGGGCGAGAAGATGAGGATGTCATCCACGTACACCACCATGAAGCTCCTCTGCTCCCCCTCGCCAAGCATGAACAAGGAGTGATCGGCCGTTGAGGGAGTGAAGCCGATCTCCTCCAACACTTCGCGCAGCTTCAGGTACCACTGCCTAGGGGCCTGCTTCAGCCCATAGAGGGCCTTCTTCAGCTTCCACACTCTGCCGCTGCCATCGTCAAACCCCTCTGGCTGCGCCATGAAAATCTCCTCCTCGAGGATTCCGTTGAGGAACGCCGTTACGATGTCTAGCTGCTTCACCACCCAACCTTTGATCGCGGCTCCCGCGAGTAGGGTTCGCAGCGTTGTCGGCTTCACCATAGGAGCAAACAACTCCTTGTAGTCCACATTCTCCTTCTGCTGGTACCCCTTGGCCACCAGCCTAGACTTGTAACGCTCGATCTTGCCGTCGGCGTCGGACTTGATCTTGAAGAGCCACTTGGACGTAATCGCCGTACGCCCCTCCGGTAGCTCCACCAACTCGTACGTGTCGTTCTCCTTAATGCTCTTCAGCTCACTCTCCATTGCCTTCTTCCACTCCTCAGCATCACCACTCTCCAAGGCCTCCTTGAGAGTTGCTGGTTCTCCCGGCATCTCCACCGGAGAGAAGAATGCGAAGGCACACTCCTCGTAGTCACTCTCCTCGTCGTCTCCGACCATCATTGCCGCTCCAGCTAGGGCCGTCTTGCCCTGCTTCCCCGGCGCATCGTAGGTCAGCCTATTAGGGGCTTGAATCTTCCTCTTGACCCTTCCTTCCTCCTCAGCTGCAGGGACTTGAAGGCCTTGGCGTTGCTGCGGTGTAGCTCGGTTCCGTGGAGCACTCGTAGTGCGGGAAGGGAGTGTCGGTGCACGCTCGCTCACTTGCTGCACCTCCTCCTCCTCCTCTTCCTCTGCATCCTTGGCCTCCTCTCCCCCATTCACAAGGGAAGATTGCCTTGTGGTGGTGCTGCCGCTGCTCAGCTCCAAAGGCAGCTCCACATGCTCCAAGCCGGAACTCTTCACCTCCCCAAACCGCACGCCTATCTTCGCCTCATTCTCCGCCTTCCAATCCTTGTACATGAAGTTCTCCATGAACTTGCAGTCCCTGCTCACCATGAACTTCTTGGTGAATGGGTCCCAAAGAAGCCACCCCTTGCTGTTTTGAGCCATGCCCAAGTGCACGGCCCACACCGCCTTGGCACCAAGCTTGTTGTGCCGAAGATGCTTAGGTACGAGCGCCATGCACATGCACCCGAACACTCGAAGCGTATCCAATTTTGGTTTCCTTCCAAGCTGTTCCCACATGAGTCAAAACTCTGTTCTTGGCCACACACGCGCTCCGCATCAGGCCAGAAATAGTCGGGTAGCCCGGCTTCAATGAGCAACCCGCGTGCCGCCTCCGTGATCGTCCGGTTCGTACGGTCGGCGATGCCGTTCATTGCAGGGGAGTATGGCATGGTGAGGGAGTGCCGAATACCATTCTTCTTCAGCCACAACCCAAACTCCTTGCTCAGGAACTCTCCCCCTTGATCGGTGCGAATCGACTTCACTAGTCGGTCTTGTTGCCGCTCCACCATCGGGAACCAATCGGTCTTCAACGTTTCAGCCACGTCGCTCTTCTTGGCCAGCACGTACACCCAAGTCATGCGGGTGTAAACGTCGATCCACTATGGTGAGGAAGTATTCAGCTCCAGCAGCTCCAAGCTTCAGGGGGCCCACCACGTCCATCACCACCTCATCAAGTGGTGCCTTAGCCGTTGTCTCCGAGCTCGAGAACGGAAAACGGGTGAACTTGGCTTGCAAGCACGTTGGGCAGCCAAGCACCTCATCGGGCTCCCCCTTCACACGTATGCCAGCAACCATCTGGTTCTTCACTAGCTGCTGCAAGATAGGCAGGGCCACATGCCCCATTCACTGATGCAAGGTGAGCCAATCACACGCCCCAGTAGCCGAAGTCGGATTGGAGAATGCCGCGCTCGCAATAGCGCCCCACATACTCTCTCCGTAGTCCTCCTTCGCTGCTGCCTCGGGGTTCTCCTCACCCTTGTGCTGCTCCTTGGCTGCTGCACCACTCTCCTTGTGGTCACCGAGCTTGCTGGTTTCTCCAGGTTTGCTCTACTTGGACTCCTTCTCCCTAGCGCGTCCGTCCGCGCTATCGTCGCTGTTAGAATGAGAAGAGTATGTGTGATTAGGTGGAGGTTGGGGTACAAGACTAGAGTGTCGAGTGAGTTTGTGTACCCCTTAAGGCTAGCCCCAATATAGCCTAGATACTAACATGCATATGTTTTGACACACCCCCATAGGCGAAATGGGGGATAGCCAGAGCAAGCAATGGTCACAAGACCAGTCAAGAGAAGAAACAAAACACGGCTCAGGGTGGATCACAACGTCACCACACACACTGAGCACAAACAAACGGCCACAAGGCCAGTCCACATGCAGAGGTATATAAGCAGCAAGAACAGCACAGTGATCTCTACCTAGCAATGCAAACATGCACGTATATATATATATATATATAGATCACAGTACAAGCAAGGCCTACAGCAAGTGAGGAAATGTGGGCACAAGCCCTAGCAAAGTGCAGAAACGCTGATGATCACCAGACGGAAGCGCCTTAGTGAATATATCAGCAGTGTTGGCCCGAGTGGCCACGTGACGCAGACGAAGCTGACCACGCTGCTGCAGCTCTCGAGCCAGGAAGTAACGCAGAGCGATGTGCTTTGTTCTGTGCTCCAGTCTGTGCTCCTCACACAAGGCAATGGCGGCCTTGTTGTCGACGTACAGCACTGGAGGAGAACGAGGCTGCTCTCCCAAGTCAGTCAGCAGGTAGGTGAGCCAGCGCAACTCCTGTGCAGCCATGGCTGTGGCGTAGATCTCAGCCTCACAACTGGAGCTGAGAACTGAAGACGAGCGTGTAGAACGCCACGAAACTGAACCAGAGCCAAGGCTGAAGGTGTAACCCTGTGACGACCGCTGAGTAGCCTGGTCGTCAACCCAAGAAGCGTCTGAGTGCCCAGTGAGAACAACTGGGCTCGTCCCTCCAAGCACTAGCCCCATGCCTGATGTGCTGCACAAGTAGCGCAGTACCCTCTTAGCAGCAGCCATGTGCTCAGGTCGGTGCCGACCAGGAGCCACGTAGCGAGCCAGAAGACCAAGAGGGTACGCGAGGTCAGGACGAGTGCAAGTCATCAGGTACATGAGGCAGCCAACTAGCTCTGGGTAAGGACCACTCGGCTCTACGGACTCGTCCGAAGGTGGAGCTGAGAGCGAATGACCTGT